GGCCTGGTTTCCATTCTCTGAACTGGCACCTCACGTCATGGTGCCTAAATGCAGCAGATGTCTGTCGTATCAGGACTGTGCCCACCCAGTCCTTGTCTGCCCCCAGCTCCCCAGGACATTCATGCAGCTGTGTAGGGGACAACCAGAATGGCTTTCCAAGATGTTTGGCATGGTCTCTCATGTTGGGATTTGGTGCCATATTTGAACTATAATTTTAGCAGTTTTGGGGCAGTAGCAGTAGCTGAACATAGGAAAGAATGAGTCAGATATCTGAATGCTTAACTGCATTCCAGTCACTGTGCTACGCATCTGGGGCCATATTGAGGCCCGCAGGTTTTGCCTTTGTCTTGAAAGAACTTAGACTAGTGAAGAACACACACTGCCGTGGGAAGCTGTCCTGGGCTACATGGTGCTGTGAGTTCCCCATGCCGAGGGTGGAAAGAGCATGCAGGTCAGGGAAACCTTATTTGGGTTTTGAAGAATGAGTATGAGTTGGAGAGAATGGTGTCATGGGAGACTCAGGATATGGTCCCAGTGAGACTTCAGACGGTAGATGCTGACACTGACCTGTTGGCTGCCTGCCTGGCATCGGCTCTTACTGTCTACTGAGCTGTGAAGCTTTGCCTCGTCTTTGCTCCTTCCAGCATGATTGGAATGTCTGTCTGGCTTTCCAGAATGTGGGACTAAAGCATTTAAAATGGTGATTTGGGGTAGGGTGGGGCAGATATTGATTCTGTCAGGGTTATGCTGCTGGTGGTGATAAGCTTCAGCACTGAATGGCTCATTTGTCACCAGCTGGGCTGCAGCTCAGTGGAGCGAGCCCTGGTGATAGACTTCTTGAGGTGCTGTGAAGCCAGATCACTCGAGGGTCCTTGCCTTCCTTTGGGAGGCGGCAGTGAAGACACTGAAACTGTGAGCCATCAGCCAGACCAGCCAGACCCATTCTTTGGGGTCCCCAAATAATGTTGGCATCTCCATGGACATTAACAGAGCATGGGGTGGTTGGAGATATGGAGGTACCTAGTTAAAGAAGAAAGTTATTTGATAAAGTTATTTCATAACTTTATTTCATAAAGTCCTTTGGGAGGTGAATAATGTTGTCTGCCCCACACTCTCAAGAACCCCATGCCCTTGGTCATCCCCAAGGCCGTTTCCCACCCGCTGGGTTTCCCACCTAGCCAGATCTCCCACCAACCTTGGTTCTCAAAATGGGATTTGTTTGCCATCATGATCTAGACCAGCACTGTTCAGTAAAGACAGTGTGAATCAGTTATGTACTTTTTAAAAAAAATAAATTTATTTATTTATTTTTGGCCGCGTTGGGTCTTTGTTGCTGCGCGCAGACTTTCTCTAGTTGTGGTGAGCGGGGGCTACTCTTCATTGCGGTGCGGAGGCTTCTCATTGCGGTGGCTTCTCTTGTTGCAGAGCACGGGCTCTAGGGTGCACGGGCTTCAGTAGTTGTGGCACGCAGGCTCAGTAGTGGTGGCATGTGGGCTCAGTAGTTGTGGCTCACGGGCTTAGTTGCTCCGCAGCATGTGGGATCTTCCCGGACCAGGGCTTAAACCTGTGTCCCCTGCACTGGCAGGCGGATTCTTAACCACTGCGCCACCAGTGAAGTGTCGCCAGTTATATACTTTTAAGTTTTGAGATACCCACATTAAACAGGTGAAATTAATTTTGATAAATATATTTTATTTAACCCAATGTGTCTATAATATTTCATCATGTGGTAGTAGCCGTATTTCACGTGCTCATGAGCCATGTGTGGCTAGCGGCTACTGTGTTTGGATGGGGCAGATCTAGACTAACTTTATCTGACTAACCAGGACTGGGGCAATGAAGAGACTAGTTTGTGATTCTACATCTAATTAGGACTGAACAAGATCAAATCTCAGTTCAGTCTCTGTTTAAAAGATATCAAATGGGAAACACGGAGGTTTTGTGGATCGCTGCTGATTGTGCTGTTCTACTTTTAATCCTGCCCTGTCTCATGGGTCTCAGCTCCCTGAGGGAAGGACCTCTGGGGGCTTTTCCGCCTCCTTGATCACAGCACATGCCCTGGAGCCATGTGCCCCCAACAGCCTTTCACAGCTGCTTGGGGATTGAATTTGAGATGCTTTTAGTGGTTGCTAGATTTTTTTTTTTTTTTAAAGGAAATGAACCCCAGTTAATCATTGTCTCGAGGTAGTTTTGCCTGCCTTATTGACCAGATTTCTGTAACATGAGTAATATGTCAGACATTGAGAGCATGTGATCTAGAAGTTTTTTTGCCCGAGGAATTTAGTGAGAGATGATTAAGAAGTTACTAACTGTTCCTCAGTCAGAATTTAATACTCAGAGATTTAAAGGGAAAAGGCTTTCTGTTTGCATTTCAGGAAACAGCTAGAGAGGTTAGTGATGGATCTGACACAGTATGGTCTTCTCCCTGGGATGGGGACGGGGGCCAGGCAGGGGAGCTGGTGGGAGGACCAGAACACACGCACACATGTGCACACACATGCACGCACTGTCAAAACACACACTTTCCCCTAAGCTGGGGGTCGGGAGACTAGGGGCTCAGTATGGACTCTGTGAAAGGAGGGAGGAGGAGGGATTAGGTGGGCTTTGGGTTCTGATTTGGCTGTCTCCCAGCCCCTTACTCTTCCAGCAACTCTCTCCCCTCCTCTGGGAATGCTGGGGTCTCTTGTCCTGCCTCGCAGCCAGGCTGAGCCCCCAGCTGTGCTTTAGGGCTCCTGGGCCTGAGCAAATCTCCTCTTCTACCTGAACCCTGCTTCCCCTGCCCCCCCGCCCCGCAATTTCCAAGAGCAGTGACTTTGTCTGATCTCATCATTGCCCTGCCAATAATCCAGGAAGGCACTCAAGTCCAAGTCCCTTTGGGCGTGGTCCCCGCTTATCCCAGCCCCACCCCCCTGCCAGCCTCCGCTTGCCTGTGGTCTCTTGCCTCTGGGCCTTTGCACATACTCTTGTCTCTGCCTGGAGCTTCTTTTTTGTCTTGTCCTTCTGGCCACCACCTGCTTCCCCTTTAAGACCAAGCTCCTGCATCATTTTATGATTACTTGTTTATTCATTTCTTCACTTATTTATTCAACCAATATGTGTCTGGCACTGAGCTGGATGTTAGAAAAATGGAGACATCTCAGAGTTTATGTTTATTGGAGAAGAGATACATTAAGCCAATACTGTGAACGTTTTGAATCCACAGGTAGCAGTTTTCCTAAACTTTTAGTACCTGACCCTTGACCCATCTCCTCTGCACCCTCCAGTCACACCAGCCCCACTTCACCCACTCTGACCTCTGTCATTAGCACTTAACACACTCTTGAAACTAACTGATTTATTTTTCCTATCTTTCTCACAAGCCCTGATTCCAGATTCCTGAGAGATAAATATTAATAGTAAGTGTTGGTTGAATGTATGGATGAAATGATGGCTTGGCTGATAGTTGGAGGGCTTTTCTGTAAGATACCCAGAGATCATGTAGTGAATGGTTTTCCTTACCAGGGCTGTGCCTGCAAGTGTCATTAAAAAGACTCCAGGTTGTAGCAAGAGCACTTTGCTTGTGGACAGTAGAGGTTTGGTCTCTGGCTTGTCACTTGCTGTCGGGCCTACGAAGCAGTTTTCCAGATTGCCTCTGACCCTGGGGTAGAATTTATAGGTGCTGAAACCACTGTGTCTGATGTCTATACACCTTACTGGATGCCACTGGTTCCCATAATCATGCCATGGCATCCTTATCCTTGGGACTTCTTTTGGGGGGCAGCCTGGAGACCTGTGACCCACACCTGCCATCTAGTTTGTTTGTTTATAGCTAGGTTCATTGTTTTGGGTTCCCTCTGTATCTTGGTTGATTTTTTTTTTTAATGTTTATAGTGAAATTCACTCTTTGTGGTATATAGTTCTTTGAGTTTGGACAGATGCGTAAAATCATGTGTCTACCCCCACAGTCATGGTGCAGAATAGGTTGGTTACCCAAAAATCCACTGTGCTGCCCCTTTGTAATCAGTCACTCCCTTCACCCAAGCCCTGGAAACCACAGATTTGTCTTCTGTCCCTATAATTTTGCCTTTTTAAGAATGTCACATAAGTGGTATTGTGCAGTATGTAGCCTTTTGGGACTGGCTTCTTTCACATATGCATGTAATATTCATCCATGTTGTGTGAATCAATCGTTTGCTCCTTTTTATTGCTGAATAGTATTTCATGGTCCAGATGTGCCACAGTTTATCTGTTCACCAGATGAAGGACATTTGGCTTGTTTTCACTTTTTGGCGATCATGAATAAAGCCTCTGAACACTTGCGTGCAGGTTTTTGTGTGAATGTATATTTTTATTCCTCTTCACTGAATACCTAGGAGTGGGGTTGCTGGGTCACTTGGTAGGTGTATGTTTATAAGGAGCTGCCAAACTGTTTTCCAAAGAGCTGCACCATTTTACATTCCCACCAGCAATGAATGAAAGTTCCAGTTGCTCTGTATCCTTTTCCAGCCTTTGGTATTATCAATTTTAAAAAATTTTAGCCATTGTAATAGATGTCCTCTCTAGTTTTTAATCTGCAGTCTTCTTTGCTCACTCTCCCAGTTGCTGACAGGATCTAAGTACCATTATTTGATTTGATTTGGCAGGGATGTTATCCATACCCATGTGAGATTTGACTTCTTAAGAGAATTTGTAGGTGCTCAGAGTGAAAGGGCACTGGGGATATCAAGCCTTCCTAAAACCTTTTGAGGAAAATGTCATATTGTATCATTCTGTAATTTTAGAATTTAAAAAGATTTCTTATTATTAGGGTTAAATCCTTTATTTAAAAATTGCTATTTTCTTGACCAATTGCAGTGAACAAAAGTTACTAACCTTGAAATTGAAATTTCTTTGACCTGTTCTTCTTACCTCTCCCTTTCATGTGGCAAGGTGTCCAGTCTGTCCTCACAAAACATAATTATTTTTTTAGGCTCTCTATGTTATTGGTGGCCATAACACTTTTTCCCCTTCCTTCTTTTTAGGCCCCTAATCGTCAACTCATGACTTACTGGTTACAAGAGCTTCAGCAGAAGAGATGGGAATATTGCAACAGTCTCGACATGGTAAAGTGGGACAGCAGGACCTCCCCGACTCCAGGGGATTTTTCTAAGGGTCTTGTGGCCAGAGATAACACAGGTAGGTCAGAAAGGGAGGGCACCTGTGTCAGTGCTTTGTGTATCGCCGTTTGACGTAGCAAGTCAGCTTAGCAGAGGAATTGAGAATGAAAATAATGGTGACGATCCCTTATAAATGGGCTGCATCCTATAGTTATTGAGGGCTTCTGTTTCCACGTACAGAATTGTATTCAAGCCCAATGACAACCTCAGGAGTAAGGCAAGGCTGGTGCTAAGCATCCTAAAGAGATGGTACGGCTGAGAGCAGTGGGTAGTGAGTTGTGGTGCTGAAGTCCAGTCTGACTCCAGGGCCAGCCCGCTCTCTACCCTGTCTGAAGGTGAAGCACCCACACCCGCAGCCCTGTGCACAGATATGTGTGCACACTGGCAAGATGTTCTCAAAGCACTCAGTGTGATTCAGTGATGCTTCTTGGGAAGATTTTAACTATCAGACACTAATTCCATTTTATCCTGGATCTGTGGTATTTCCATAACTCATGCTAATCCCTGGCTGATTGCAGTGTGGAGATGATGTGGTTTTATCTTTGAATATCAAAAATTAAAACCCTGTGATCTTCTCATGACTGTCTGGTGGTGCTGAGCCTTGTTAACTGAAAGAACAGGACTATGGTTATACACAGACCACCCCCGACCCGGCGCCTGAAGGGACTACTGAGGTGGGGCTGTATTTGTGGTCCCTCTCTTCACACAGGGAGAAGAGCAGGCCCAGAAAACCCTGACCTCTGGGCCTTGAAGTAAGGCATGAAAAGGCCAGGCCATCACACCAGCATTTCTTAAGGATTGAAGGAGTGCATATTGGAATTTAGCCAGCATGGGCTAGTTCTCATGCCTGTAAAGAGGTGTGGTGCAAGCTTTGTAACACCTGCGGGACCTTTGCTCAGGAGAACACAGGCTACAGTCAAGCTCCCTGTAAAAGAACGGTGGCATTGGCACATGTGCAGCCAACTTGTTTTGGAAACAAACGCCTTCTTGGACTTCTTAAATTATTTTTTTCCTCCAAGTCCCTGTTTTCCTGCCGGCCTTGCTTTTACCAATCAGCAGGTTAACCCTCTGGTCAGTGAGAAATTCCTACGTGTACTTCATTCCTCTTCCTGTGCTGTGCTATGAGAGTTCTCAGGTCGTTTTCATGGATGTCTTCACACGAATGATAGCAGGAGCTGAGAGGATGCCTCCAGTCTGGCTGAGAGGATGCCAAAACCCTTACTATGTTTAGTTTGTACTTCTGCTCATTGATGACTTAGTTATTTAAAAAAAACACTATTATATTGCTTTTGATCAAAAGAAGCTCTGTCACTCAGTATCAGTCACTTGGAACGATTGGAAACCCTGCGGGGAAACCAGCAGTATTCATGGTGGTAGCTAGTGCCTTTGGCACAGACGATACTCACTTTGCCTCTGTTCCTTCTTTCTGAGGTCACCAAGCACTTCTCTCTAAGGGAGACTCAGGCATTAGACCGAAAGGAGGACCAAAGGAATGAAGCCCTGTGGTCTCTTTATAACATGCATCCTTCCTTCTTTTAAGCCAAAGTGCTGAGGCTAGGGAGCCGGCAAAAACACCTGCAGCCTGCATTTGGTTCTCTGCATTTGGTTTTGGGACTCTAGCCTGGGAATTTGGAGTTGGCACCCTCTGGTGTTTACTCATTCATTCAGCAAGTAGATGCCCGTGATGGGCTTGGATCTCCCCCCTCACAGAGTTTCTAGTCAAGCAGAGTGAAGAAAAAGTGAGATCACATGAGAGGGAAGGTACAGAGTACCAAGTGCCATGAATGGGTTGAGCACAGCTTTGGGGTGGGTGGGTTCACTCTCTGAGATCTGAGGATGACCCGGAGTCAGGCCAGGTAAGAGGAGTGCAGTGCCCTCCAGGAGCTGGAAGGAGGGTGTGGCCAGAGGGTGCTGGCAGTGAGCTGAGCCTGGAGGCACACCCAGGGCCAGGGTGGGAGGGGCCTGGACCTCTGGGTTTGGGGTTTTGGACTCTCCTAAGAGCAGTGGAATGCCCTTGAAGATTTTATGTGCAGAACCGACTGTAATTTTGAACTTCTGCCAATTTTTATATAGCTTTTAAGAACAAATGATGAAACTTTGGATGACCAGGCAATTTGCAAGACTATAATTATTTAGGAAGTCAGAAAGTCTAAAGGGGGAAGACAAGAAGAAAAGGCTAGATTTTTATCACCCTCCTTTTTTATCATCATTTTAGATAAAAATTGGTTAAAAGGTAAAATGAGTTAAGGTATGTGGTGGTGCTCTGTCGTGTTTCTGAAGCCATGCTTGTGGTTATCTGCTCTGCTTATCCTAAATCGTGCTAACTCTAGCTAGGATTGAAGACAAATGTTTTTATTACTCTGATTTACATTAAAAAAATAAAACTTTTCCTACTGTCCTCTCCTTGTTACCCAGTTTTGGGTAACATTTTTGTTTGTTGTCTAATGGGTGTCACCCATCAGTACCCTCCTAGCACCGAAATTCAACATGGGGAAAGGTATAGGGAATTAACGTTTGACAGGCAGTTGTATCTTGGAAGGCAGTTCTCTCTGGTGGAAGGATCCCTGTGGGCCTGGGTTTGAGTCTTGGCTCTGATATTTACTCTTTGTCAGACTCTGAGTGAGTCATTTTCTCTCTAGTAAAGGGTAGCAAACTGCAGCCTGTGGAAATGAAGTTTTATCAGAATAAAGCACCACTCATTTATTTGCATATTGTCTGTGGCTGCTTTTGCGCACCAGTGGTAGAGTTGAATAGTTGTCACAGAGACCATTTGGCTCCCCAGTCTAAAATATCTACTACTGTCTGGGGCTTTAAGAAGAAGTTTGCTGACCCTTGCTGTGATGTCTTGAGCGTACCTCTCTTTTTGAGCCTCAGTTTCTTTATCCGTAAAATGGGCATTGTTCATTCAGTCTTTCACTCCAGGCATTCTTGTATTCTAGGCATTTGTGCCAGTGCCTGGGATGTAAAGACAAATAAGTCATGGGTCATGTTCTCAAGGAATGTGTGGTCTAGTGAGGGACCCAGACAGGTAAAGAGGCCTGCACGATGCAGTCTGGTAAGCACAGGGCCAGAGGTGAGCACAGGAAGCTTACCTGCGTGTGGGTGTTGGAGGGTAGGGTGTTGGTGGTGTCTGAGAAGGCTTCCTGGACTAGGAGAGGGCTGAACTGAGTCCTGAAGAGCTGGCCTTGTGAAGCAGGCAAAGGAAAAGCCTGGAGACCCTAGAGACCAGGGCCTGACTTGAAGGTAGAGTGTGTGGACAGGAGTGATAAAGAGAAAGTTGGATGGATGATCAGGGACCAGACCTGGAAGGGCTTATGCATTTGAGATGATTAACCATGGCCGAGTGGGAGAGAATGGATTCCTTGGCAAGACAAGAGGAAGGGAGACCAGTTAGAAGGCTGGTCGAGCCTAGAAATCATAGTATCCTTGAGTAGGGTTGCAGCAGAGAAGATGGAAAAAAGTGGGCAGAGTCGGGAGATTGTATGGTGGGAGAACTGGTGGATTAAAAGGTGGGATTAGCTTTGAGGGAGAGGGAAGGCAGAGGGTGCCATCCAGGTCCCAGGCCCAGGCAGTTGGCTGGATAGGATTGGAAGGAATACTAACAACAACCTTGTCCCCCACCCGTCCCCGTCCCGCCAGTATTTCTGTTTTGAGGATCAGATGGGAAACTGCATTATTAAGTGTAAAGTGTCAAGTGTATTATATACACACGTATACATACATATATGATATTACCATTTTGAATCGGTTAGGATTATGTTCAGCTGCAATTAACAGGAAACCTAATAGGGACTTACAAATAGAGATTTATTTGTCTCATGATGGCAGTTCATAGCTGGCGAACCTCCTCCCCAGTGCCATTGAGGGACCCATTCTGTTCTCCAGCCTTAGAGTATTAGTTTCCCTCCTCATGCTAGCTGCCTTTGGGAGTGGCACCTATATTAATAAGGAGAAAGCTTTCCCAGAAACTCTTGCTTTATGCCTTATTAACTAGAACTCTGTCATGGAGACTCTGGAATGGAGTTTGAGGAGGCCAGTGTTTTAGCAGAGCATGTGGCCACCATCAAAACCAGGGTCTCTAAGGAAGAGCTAGAATGGGTATCAGATAAGCAGCTGGCAGTGTCACATAATTGCCTACATTAACTTTGTTTTCAAGAGTTCATGTTTCTGGAGTAAGAATCTGTTCCTCAGTGTGACTGAAATTTGCAGCTCTATATTTGTCAATCAAGTATTAGAAAGTGAGATGACTTTGTTTTATCTGATCTGTCTGCCTTCCATCTGCAGCCTGGCCTCTGAAAGTATGCCATGCCTCAGACACCACTCTGCTTGTCTTCTGTGTTTGGATAGATAAAGACTTAGTTTCAACACAAAGGAATAATTTGCAAAGATAAAATCAAGAGTCTGCAGACCTTCATAGCTGTTGGGAATGAGGCAGCCAGAATCCAAAGGAGGCTTGTAGCGAGCTAACAGCCTCATTACAAGCTGTGTGTCCAGCACGTTCTGTTTACTTCATTTCCCATGTAAACTAATAGGCAAACAAGTCAGGGATAACAAGACTTTGTTTTTTTAAAGACTTCCTGAGAGTTCAGGAATATAAAAGCCCTCACCATCACAGGGGGAAAATGGTACAGTGAAGAAGGTTTGAGGGATGACCACACCTTTCCTTCTCTGAAGCAGCCTCGAGAGTAACTGCCACCCTCTTGGCTTGTGTGGGAGCAGGGGGAGGGGAAGGGAAGTGGCTGCTTGTTCCAGTCCTCCCCCAGTTTGAGCCGCGCTCTCTGTGCAAGTGCTGGAACTGGTGGGAGGGAAACCGTAGGGTGGGACGCAGACCCCACATTAGCAAAGCCACAGGAATTCCATGGAATCATTTCATGTCACAGTTCCCTAAAGTCATCAAAGAAGCTGTGCTTTTATGTTATCCTGTTTGTAGAATACTACAAAATGCCACGTGTTGTTTTAAAGTGTCAGTCATGGTGATTATCAGCCTTGTAGCTGAGAGGCAGCCTGATCTAGTGCAGAAAGCTGATGGAATGAAGGGCACACACCGTTTCCCCCTCTGGGAGCAAGATGCTGTCTCTGATTCCTTCTGGATGGAAGGTTCTGTGATTCCTAACGTCAGGCTGTGAAAGGGAGGGAGATGATGAGCAGGGTCAGATTCCAGCTGTGTCTCTGGGGGAGCCTGGGGGAGCCTCCCGAAGAAGGTGTGGAGGAGACGGTCCGTGGTGGGCTGGAGTGTGGTGCCTGTGGAGGCAGGCTGGGCCTGGCTCTGGGTGCGATGTGGTGCAGTGCACGGCGGGGTGGGGGGTGGGCGGTGTGCTGGGGTGCTGAGCCTCTGCAGGAGCGCAGGGCGGTGGGAGAGGGGAAGAGAGGGAAGCCCTGGAGTCAGGTGTGCTCCCCACCCCTAATGCAGGGGGTCTCTCAGAGGCGAGGTGGCAGGAGAAGGGCAACCAGGAGGGATGATGGGCATGGTTCCTTAGAGAACGACAGGGACCTGCTGCCTCCTGCCTGATTTCCTCAGCCTCCAGAAGGCCCTCCCTGCCGCACCACAGCAGTCATTTATTCATTCCTTCAACCATTTTACCAGCATTTATTGTGTCCCTCCTCTGTGGCTGCTGTTGGGTACGCAGCTGTTAGCAAATCAGGCTGGGGTCCAGTTCTCACAAGACTTACGTCCTTGGTGAGGCATGGGAGAGAGCAGACAGATGCGTAATTAACCAGACATGTGGACTGGCCCATGGGGGATGCTCAGACCCGGTGGTTTGCTGCCTCTTCCTTTTGGGGTTAGATGCACACTGTGCCCTTACTTGGAAGATAACTGTACCGCTCCTGACCACGCCTTCACAATCTGGGTTAAACTCACTTTGATAAAGGGAAAAAAAGCTTTTTCAGGTTAACCCTGCCCTGAGTGTTCTCCACCAGCTCCCAGTGGGGACTTGCAGGCTCTCTTTTGCGGTATCTTTGACACACATGGCAATGGCGTTTTCCCAGTGCTTTTCCCTCCTTTCTTGGAGGATGCTGCCTCTTGGGCACTCTGTTCTGCCCTCTGCGAGGTTGCTCGTGGTGGAGCTAGGAGCCGGAGAGGAGTGCAGACTCACGGAGGTGTCCAGATGTGAGCAGGAGCCTCCCTCTGTGGGTCCCACAGGGCCCCTGGTGTTAGAATGCGTTCAGCGGCAAGGACTCCTGGAGATCTGGGAATGGCCACGCCAGAATGATAGAGGCTGTGCTGGAATCAGAACCCAGGAAATCTGTAGTCTAAAAGTCGCTCAGAGGTGTCATTTAGGCATTGGGAAATGTTCAGAAATAACAGAGAAGGTCTGAACACCAAAACTCTTCAAGCACCGACTCTCTCCCCACTGCAGCTGCAAGATAAAGCACATGTTCATGAATCCAATCCATCCTCTTAAGGATTTCAAGGAAATACTGCCCTGTCCTAGTTTGTGTCCTTCTTGAGGCGGTTCCCTGAATGCTAATGTTAGGACATGTATTGAGGGGAAGCCAGCAGCTCCGCTTTTAATTAAGGAAATCTCATGTGGTCTTTTAACAACCAAAAACCAGACAAAACAATCTAGCTAAAACTGGGAAATGGCTTCTTTTTCATGTCAAACGATGACTTTTAGAAACGGTTTGTTTTGCCAACATCCTCCCTGGCCTCCGGTCCCTTTTCTGCACCCCACCCCCAGGGCCTGAGTTCCTCAGGAACCATTTCCAGTGTGGGCCCAGGGCTGCTGGCAGGCCTGGGCGTCCTGGTAACAGGTGCTTGGCTATGCGAGAGAGCTTGACAGTCTCACCCGCAGAGGGGCCGCTCCTCACCTTGCTGCCAACCCACACAGGAAGAAGGGGCTGGACTCTGCTCGAAACAGAAACAGGTGCAGTGCACTGTGTTTATTTCCTGGTTTGGTTTAGAGTTGTAATGCTTTGCCTGTGAGGGGTCTGCGAAAGACCAGCCTCCGGGAAGCCTGGGTGTCGGTTTTACCTTTGTCTGAAATAGAGGTGGTGCACCCGTGTGCCCAATGACCGACACACACTCACAGATGTCGGGTGCCTGCCTCTACCCAGTACAGTCACTGCACTCGCCATGAGGCTGTTGTCACTGCAGGAGCAGGTGACTGCCTTCTAGCCCCAGCTCAGGGCTTCTGTGTCCTGACAGATAAAGTAGGTAGAGGAAACTGGACCTGGTTAGTGGTGTTTGAACTTGTTTTTTGTTTGTTTATTGGAACTCTTTTTTTCCAAATGAAATCTCAAGAGGAACTCCAGGATATAAAAGAGTGAAAAGCGGAACCACTGTGGTTGAAGCTGAGAGTGGGACCCCTTCCTTCTCTCCCTCTGAAAATCCCCAAGGATCTCCTGGACCCTAAGGCTCAGAGGAAAGTCTGGAAACCAGGGACTCGATGCATTTGGTGGTGACTTGGAGCTTAACATTTTATTATTTTATATCTTTCTCCTAGATGTGTTCTCCTTTAGGGCAAGAACTCTCTCGTTTTTTTTTTTGTACCCCGAGCACCTAGTGCTTCATACACAGTGGTAACTTGAACCAAGAATCAGGAACCAGTGGTGGTTTGTAACTTCTGGCCTTCTTGACTTAATCTTATAATCCATTGCCAAGCCTATAGTTCTTCTGTCTCCCAACACACCCTCTTGCTTTTTCCACTTGGAATGCTACTATGAGCCAGGTGTTGACTCTCCTGGGCAGGCACCAGTTCCCCTCATGGATACACAGCAGTCATTTCGTGTCACAGCCAGCATCCTTTTCCCAGTGTGTTCCCGGAGCCCTTGCCATGCTGACTGTGGTCAAGTTAGTGACCTGCCAACAAAGTGTGAGCCCGTCATAAGGTGTTCCCGTTTGGAACATCAATTTTCAAGGGCCCCCGAGTCCAGGATTCCCTGTGCTCTGCCTTCTCTACAAGTGCTCAATGACCTTCACAGTGACCTGTTCTAGGTGAACTCAGGTTGTGTGCTCATCTGATTAGAAAGTAATTTTTTTCTTGGTTATCAGTGTTCAGCGTTCCATTCTGATTCTGTTTCCACTGAAGGAGTGATGGTTGATCTTGCCAATGTAGGGATGCTTTTATTCATTATTGTAAAACAATGTTAAATTCTGTTTACAAACCTATATATTCTCTGAGAGCTTATATCGTTTGGAAGAATACAAAGTATTTATTGTTGGATACATTTTATCAAAACTTTAGAAAAGTTAGTTTTTATTATGGGTCTTATGGGAAATTTTAAGCATATGCAAAGAGAGAGTAACATAATATTACCCACATGTTTATTAGGTAGTTTCAACAATTAGTATTTCATGACCCACCTTGTTTCATTGATATACTTACCTACTTAATTTTGTTATTTGGAAGCAAATAACATGTTATTTGAGGCAAATATTATTTATTTGTTAAATAACAAAATGTTATCTTTTTCTTTTAATTTTCTTTTATTTATTTTTTTATACAGCAGGTTCTTATTATCCATTTTATACATATTAGTGTATATATGTCAATCCCAATCTAAAAATACAGAACGCTTCATGAATTTGCATGTCACCCTTGCGCAGGGGCCATGCTAATCTTTTGTGTATCGTTCTAGTTTTAGTATATGTGCTGCTGAAGCGAGCACCAAAATGTTGTTATCTTGAAGCAAATTCTGGGCATCCTATGATTGCAACCTTAAATATTTCAAACATTTACATTTTATTTTAAGATTTTTTTTCATGTGGACCATTTTTAAAGTCTTTATTGAATTTGTTGCAGTATTGCTTCTGTTTTTTTATGTTTTTTGGTTTTTTGGCCACGAGGCATGTGGGATCTTAGCTCCCCGACCAGGGATGGAACCCACACCCTGCCCTGCATTGGAAGGCAAAGTCTTAACCACTGGACCCCCAGGGAAGTCCCTCAACCACTTACATTTTAAAGATACATTCTGAAATTTGATCATGCTTTAGCATCAGTGCATTTGCCTATGAATTTACTGAACTGCTATCCTTTATATGCAAACTTATTTTTTCATTGTCACTATTTGCGATCAGCAAGTATGTATATATATTCTGTTCCCCTCACTTTCTTACAGAAAAGGGCATTAATGTAATCCGGTCTGCGCTTTGCTTTTTTCACCTAACAGTTTATCCTGGAAATTGTGCCTTATCAGTATAGTTGAGTGGACCATGATCACAGCTTTATACCTGGTTTACTGATCTACAAGACAGCGGAGAAGAGCCCTAGCTGCTTCTTTCCCTGGGCCAATGCTGTTAACTTGGTGGTTTGAAGCATGTACCACCTTCCTTTGAGGACCATGGGTCTACTTTAGATGAAAATGGTTGCAGAGCACGCTAGCCACCTACAGATTGTGTTTTCATGTAGTACACATTAAAAATATACTATAACATACTATATAGATTTTTATATAGTATATCAAGACAGTGTACTATGTAGGATATCAAGTTCCCTGTGGAAACTTGGAGTAACTGACACTTGTTTGCCTTTCTTTCAGATTTAATTAACCTGCACCCAAATGCTTCTGCAGAAAAAGCCAGAAATGTCCTAGCTGTGGAAACTGCCCCTGGAGAGCTGGTGGGAGAGCAAGCTGCAAATCAGCCCGCCCCAGGGCATCCAAATTCCATTAACTTCTCTTTGAAACAGTGGGGCACTGAGCTCAAGTGAGTCTTTGGAAAGCAGCATGTGAAACTGAAAACAGCTTATTTCTGATAATGTATGTTATAATTTTATATATGAAATTATAAAACCACCTGACATTTCTGAAGGCTTTATCACAAGGTACTTTTGCATATTTTGTTATTTTTTTTTAGCTTGTATGGAATGACTATTATGTGCCTGTTGCTGTGAAACACTTTCACACTCATGGTTTAATTGCTTGACTCTGTGAGGTAGGTCATATGGTTGACATTTTACAGAGAGAGCAGTTGGCTCAGGAAGAGTCCTTGTCTAAGGTCACAAGTCTCCCAGGCTGCAGAGTTGAATGAGCATCACCACAATCAATTTGAGAACATTTTCATTACCCCAGAAAGAAACCCCAGTACCCGTTAGCAGTCCCTTCCCCTTTCCCCCAAACCTCTTCCTATCTGGCCCTTGGTAACCACTAATCTACTTTCTGTGTCAATGGATTTGCCTGTTCGGATATTTCATATAAATGACATCATATGGTATGTGGTCCTCTATGTCTTGCTTCTTTCACCGAGCATAATGTTTTTAAGGTTCATCCATGTTGTAGTACATATTAGTACTTCATTTATTTTTTTGTTGTTATAAATTTATTTTATTTATTTTTAGCTGCGTTGGGTCTTCGTTGCTGCGCGCGGGCTTCCTCTAGTTGTGGCGAGTGGGGGCTACTCTTCATTGCAGTGCATGGGCTTTTCATTGCGTTGGCTTCTCTTGTTGAGGAGCATGGGCTCTAGGCACGCGGGCTTCAGTAGTTGTGGCTCGTGGGCTCTAGAGCGCAGGCTCAGTAGTTGTGGCGCATGGGCTTAGTTGCTCCATGGCACATGGGATCTTCCCAGACCAGGGCTCCAACCCATGTCCCCTGCATTGGCAGGTGGATTCTTAACCACTGCGCCACCAGGGAAGTCCCTATTTCTTTTCATTGAGCAATAAGATTCCATTATGTGGGTATACCACATTTTGTTTATCCATTCTTCAGTTAAGGGAAATTTGGGTTCTTTCCACTTTTTGGCTACTATGAATACAGCTGCTATAAATATCTGTGTGCAGGTTTTATGTGGACATAATTTTTCAACTTCTTTGAGTAAATACCAAGGAACACGATTGCTGGATCATATGGTAAGAGTATGTTTAGTTTTGTAAGAAACTGCCAGTCTTCTGAAATGTACCACTTTGCCTTCATTTCTACCAGTGATGAATGAGAGTACCTGTTGCTCCACATCCTTGCCAGCATTTCGTGTTGTCAGATTTTTGTCATATCATGCCATATGATGTGATGCATTTTTCATGTGCTTATTTGCCACCTCTGTATCTTCTTTGGTGGAGTGTCTGTTAAGGTCTTTGGCCATTTTTTAACTGGGTTGTTTGTTTTCTTACTATTGAGTTTTAAGAGTTCTTTGTATATTTTGGGTAGCAGTCCTTTATCAGATGTGTTTTTTGTAAATATATTTTCACAGTCTGTGGCTGTCGTTTAATTCTCTTATATTGCCTTTCACAGAACAGAAGTTTTTAATTTTAATCAAGTCCAGCTTATCAATTATTTCTTTCAAGATTGTGTCTTTGGTATTGTATCTTATACCTTCACCATACCCAAGGTTGTGTAGGTTTTCTCCTGTGCTAACTTGTAGGAGTTCTATAATTTTGAGTTTTACATTTCTGTCTGTGATCCATTTTGAGTGAATTTTTGTGACGTGTGTAAGATTTGTGTCTAGATTCTTTATTTTGCGTGTTGATGTCTAGTTGTTCCAGCACCGTTTGTTGAAGAGGTTATCTTTGCTCCATTGTATTGTCTTTGCTTTTTTGTCAAAGGTCAGTTGACTGTGTTTATGTGATTCTATTTCTTGATTCTCTGTTATGGTGCATTAAGGTGTTTGTCTATTCTTTTGCCAGTACCACACTGGCTTGATTACCATAGCTTTATAGCAAGCCTCAAAGTAGAGCAGTGTCAGTCTTCCAGCTTTGTGCTTCTTCAGTATTGTGTCGGATATCCTGGGTCTTTCCCCTCCTCCATGTAAACTTTAGAATCAGTTTGTCAATAACCACAAAATAACTTGCTAGGATTTTGATTGGGGTTGCATTGAATCTATAGATAAAATTGGGATGAACTGACAATGTTGAGTCTTTCTATTCCTGAGTGTGGAATATCTCTCCATTTATTCTGTTCTTCTTTGATTTCATTCGTCAGAGTTTTGTGGTTTTCCTCATACAGATCATTTATATTTAAGTACTTTGCTTTCTTGGGTGCTATTGTAAATGATATGGTGTTTTTAATTTCAAATTCCACTTGTTCATTGTTGGTATATAGGAAAACAGTTGAATTTTGTATATTAATCTTATATTGTGCAACCTTGCTGTAATCACTTATTATTTCCAAGAGTTTTTTGGTTAATTCTTTCAGATTTTCTACATAGATGGTTGTGTCATCTATGAACAATTTTATGTCTTCCTTACCAATCTTTTTAATTTCTTTTCTTTGCCTTATTGCATTAGCAAGGACTTCCAATACGGAGTTGAAAAGGAGTGGTGACAGGGGACATCGTTGCCTTGTACCTGATCTTAGTGGAAGTGCTTCAGGTTCCTTACCATTAAGTATGATGTTAGCTGTAGGCTTTTTGTAGATAGTCTTTATCAAGTTGAGAAAGTTCCCTCTATTCCTAGTTTACTGAGAGTTTTTATCATGAATGGGTGTTGGATTTTGTCAGATGCATTTTCTGCATCTGTTGATATGATTATGTGATTTTCCTTTTCTAGTCTGTGATGTGGTGGATTACAATAATTGATCTTATTTTTTATTTTTTAAATTTATTTATTATTTTTGGCGGTGTTGGGTCCTCATTGCTGCGCGTGGGCTTTCTCTAGTTGCGGCGAGCGGGGGCTGCTCTTTGTTGTGGTGCACGGGCTTCTCATTGTGGTGGCTTCTCTTGTTGCGGAGCACAGGCTCTAGAGCACAGGGACTTGAGTAGATGCAGTGCATGGGCTCAGTAGTTGTGGCTCGTGGGCTCTAGAGCGCAGGCTCAGTAGTTGTGGCACACGGGCTTAGTTGCTTCGTGGCATGTGGGATCTTCCCGGACCAGGGCTCAGACCCATGTCCCCTGCATTGGCAGGCGGACTCTTAACCACTGCGCCACCAGGGAAGCCCCCAATAATTGATTTTAGAATGTTGAACGAGTCTTGCATACCTTGGATAAATCTCACTTTGTTGTGAAGTATAGTTTTTTTATACATTTTTGAATTTGATTTGCTAATATTTTGTTGAGGACTTTTGTATCTGTGTTCATAAGAGACATTGGTCTGTAGTTCCTTTTTTTATTCTTTTTTTGGTTTGCCATTAGGGGAATGCTGCTCTCATAGAATGAGTTAGCAAGTATTCTCTCTGCTTCTATCCTCTGAAAGAGATTGTAGATAATTAATATAACTTCCTGGGGCTTCCCTGGTGGTCCAGTGGTTAAGACTCTGTGCTCCCAGTGCAGGGGCCCAGGTTCGATCCCTGGTCAGGGAACGAGATCCTGCATGCCACAACTAAAGATCCCGCATGCTGCAACTAAAGGTGCCTTATGTGGCAACGAAGATCCTGTGTGCTGCAACTAGGACCCAGTGCAGCCAAATAAATATTTTAAAAATTAGTATAATTTCTTTCTTTAATGTTTGGTAGAATTCATCAGTGAACCCATTTGGGCCTGTACTTTCTGTTTTGGAAGGTTATTATTGATTCCATTTTAAAAATAGATATAGGCTTATTCAGATCTTTTATTTGTTCTTGTGTGAGTTTTGGCAGATTGTGTCTTTCAAGGGATTGGTCCATTTCATCTAAGTTATCAAATTTATGGGCATAGAGTTGTTCGTTGTATTTCTTGCGTATCCTTTTAATTTCCATGGAATCTGTGGTGATTTTTCCTCTTTAATCTCCAATATTAGTAATTGGTGTCATTTCTTTTTTCCTTAGTTAGTCTGGCTAGAGGCTTATCACACTGATTGATCTTTTCAAAGAACCAGCTTTGGTTTCATGTTTTTTTTTTTTTTAACATTAATTTATTTTTTGGCTGCGTTGTGTCTCAGTTGCGGCACTAGGGATCTTTCATTGTGGTGCATGGGCTCTTTGTTGCGGTGTGCGGGCTTCTCTCTAGTTGTGGCCTGCGGGCTCCAGAGCACGTGGGCTCTGTAGTTGCAGCACGTGGGCCCTTTAGTTGTGGTGTGTGGGCTCAGTAGTTGAGGTGCACGGGCTTAGTTGCCCCACGGCATGTGGGATCTTAGTTCCCTGACCAGGGATCGAATTGGTATCCCCTGCATTGCAAGACAGATTCTTAAGCACTGGACCACCAGATAAGTCTCTGGTTTCATTTTTTTCTGTATTGATTTCCTGTTTTCAATTTTATTGATTTCTGCTCTACTTCTTATTATTTATTTTCTTCTGCTTACTTTGGATTTAATTTGCTCTTATTTTTCTAGTATCCTATGGTAGAAACTTGGATTATTAATTTTAGATCTTTTTTCTTTTCTATTATATGCATTCAATGCTATAAATTTCCCTCTGAGCTCTGCTTTTGCTGCATCCCACAGATTTTGATAATTTATGTTTTCATGTAGTTCAGAATATTTTAAAATTTCTCTTGAGATGTCTTCTTTGACTCCTGTTAGTTGGAAATGTGTCGTTTAATCTCTGCATACTTGAAGATTTTCCTATTACCTTCTGTTACTGATTTCTGGTTTAATTCCACTGTGGTCTGAAAGCAGATGTTGTATGATTTCTGTTCTTTAAATTTGTTAAGGTGTGTTTTATGGCCCGGAATGTGGTTTGTCTTGATGAATGGTCCATGTGAGGAAAATGTATATTCTGCTCTTGTTGGATGAAGTAATTTATAGATATCATTTACATGAAGTTGATTGATGGTGTTCACTTTGACTGTGTCCTTATTGATTTTTTGCCTGCTGGATTTGTCTATTTTGGATAGAGGGGTGTTGAAGTCTCCATCTGTGATAGTGG